TGACTTTCAGAGCTGATACACCAGATTCTTGGCTTCCTTTTTCCCTATTTTATAAAAACCATGTGCCTTGATAACCTCAGCTTGATGTGAGCATGCCGCAGAGAGAAAAGGAAGAAGAAACCTGAAGACAAACCCTAAGATGTGCCTATGTAGAGTTCATAGATAGTGACCTCTGTTGGTCAGAAAAAAATTATCTTTCACACCCACAAATGTGTGCAGATACACAAATATGTACATGAACAAACATGAAATATAGTCCATAGTAGGAGGATTAAAGAAAATTCTAAGGAAACAAACCTATTTATATAATCTAGAGAGACTGCCTGGTTTAAAAACAAATATATTCAAAACAGTAGTAAAAATGTTTGCAAACCTGCCTTAAATTCTTTCTTTAATCCTTCTGTTACAAACAATTTTTCATGTTGAATACGGGAGCACCACAATTAGCTTTTAGAAAGATTTGATGAAAGCATGGCATTTAAAAAAAGAATCCATGTTATAGTAGCAGTAAGTCACAATATGGTTTACAGGCTTAGGAAAATTTTGCATTTCTTGGGTCATTAACTTCACCTAACCTTTGACTTTTTGTTCAAAACATTTCTTGGATATAGTTGGGGGCTTGATTTTGCTTATGTTTAAATCAATGAGCACAGTGGAAGCAGGAACATGCTTTATAGCATGTTTTCCTCTGGCTGCCATCTTCAGTAACATGTTGAAATAACGGGTAATTCTAGACATACCTTAATGCAAGTGAGAGCAGAATTTATCCTCTTGTTACAAGCTTATTACTTTAGCATTAGGTAGAATTCAACATTCAGTGACCATTTCAGTGGAGCTTCTTGTGTGGTTTAATCAATTAGGATATGCCTGTGGAAAAATGAACCCTGTTATTGTTTGCTGAATTCAGCAGCAGTTCCCTTCATGCTGCTTCCCAGATATTTCAGTGGTTATTCTGAAATAAGATATGTTTCAAAACAATCAAGTTTGTTTTGAATCATGCTACAGAGAAATACCTGGTTTCACTTCATATGTTGAGACCTAATGCAACTTTCCATTTGGAAAAAATAAAATTAGATGGTTCTGTTCTGTGATCTTTGCAGTTTTGAGTCTGAAACAATAAAGACTTCAGCAGGTATAAAAACTGGGATAGCTCAATGATGTCAGTGAAGCCAGACCAGTTTCCAACACCTGGAGAATCTGGTCCAGTATCTATCCAACAAGAATCGATCCCAAGTTTTGCATGCCCTAACATTTTTATTACGTCTCTAATGATTCCCACTTTATGGAAAAAGCATGTTTTCCTGTAATGTTTCGCTGTACTGTCTGTAATGTGTTGGCTCTGAGGTGCCTCTTCTTTTCTGCAGAGGGGAAGAGGCCTGGGAAAGGCAGCTGCTTTTGCTGAGGGTGGAAATTAAGCAGTCGATTAGCAGTGTTTGCTGAAGCAAATGTTTTGACTTTAATTTCTAAAGCACTTCTGCACTTAATCCTTAGGTCAAGGGTTGCAGAGAGCCCCCTGGAAGAGAGCAAAAATGAAGATAATCCCTATGACTACAGAAAACTGCTACGGAAAACCTCTCAGCGCCGGCGCCTTATCCAGCAATTCTAGTTGCTGCTGCTGCTGCCATTTGGCTTTTATTAGCATAATCTTTTTTATGATTTTATACCATATGCTTTCCCTTTTTTTGTATGGCTATTTCCAGTATTTTGCATTTACAGGGGTTTTTTTTCATTTAAATACAAACTATTTTAATTTGTGGTCCCACCTCCTGTTGAAGGGACACTGTCAGGTAAAAAAAAATCACATATTTAAAAAATAATCCACAGAGCTTCCTTTGCTGATGTTCTTAATCCATTTCAAGATTATAAAACAGGAAAGAATGTTTAAAATTAGTTTACTTTCTTTAGCATATATTGTTTTCTGCTTTTGCCTTTCTTTCATCTTTAAACAATGTAAATATACCAGTTAATGTATAGTCCTTTCCTACTCAGGTTCCCACCCTGACAGAAAATTAATTTAACAAATAGAAGAATGAATTAGCTGCATTGGATTTTTAATTGCATGTAACCATTTGTTTTGGTTTATGCTTTACAATGCCTAAATTATAGAGCAAATCTGCATATAAATTATTCATTGCACAGTATATCCTAAACTTATTTCCTTATCAACTATGTACTGTAAAGCTCTGGGGTGGGGTTAAAGGTCAATATAGTGTGTGTAATCTTTATCTGGGAAATGTTTATATACAGGACAGGACATCTAACCACAACCTTCTCTCCTGCCCTCTCAGCTCTGTGGGAAACTCCTGAATCTTGTTTGCTTTGTTTTCCTTTCTAAATCTGTATTGTTTTTTGTTAAGGCATTTTAATTTCTGGGTGACTGAGAAATGCCGAGGGAAATGAAAATTGGTCTATTGCTGCCTCAGAGGTAAAGACCAATCGCAATCAGTTCCACCAGGGTGCAAAGGGAATAGCCACTTAAAAAAAATCTACCCAAAAACCTATTTTACAAGAGGCCTGGCAGATAATTAGTGCATTCACACCCAGGCTTCCAGGTCTGATAACTGCACTCTCCCAGCTGTAAAGGGAGAAAGGCAGACTTCATCAAGCAAACAGTCCCCAGGGGCTGAGGGCCAAATCCCGCTCCCTCGCTCAAGCCAGTCACCCGGATTGCAGTGACTGCCAGCGGCGTCCAGTTCTGCACGGAGCCCTTCAGAGGGAGACACCGCCGCCCGGCCCCGGCCCCGTGCGCAGCCAGCCCGGCCGCGCCGCTCCCCGCTCGGGGCAGAGCCCTGCCGGCC